AAATTATTAAATAAATAAGCATATGGAGGGTAGCAGAGTTATAAGGACTAGTCAGCAAAAACAAATTATGGCAAACCAACCTAATTCCCATTTTTGACAGGGTTACTGACCTCATCAGGGGAAAGAGGGGAGAAATAGAAAGGATATCTATTTAGTTTGTATGGCTTTTGACACTATCCCACATGATAGTCTCATAAGCAAACTAAGGAAATGTGGTCTAGATGGAATTACTAGAGATGGGTCCACAACTGATTGAAAGACCATACTGAATGGTTTGCTATCAAACAGGGAGGGTATATTAAATGGACTCCTGCAGGGGTCAACTCTGAGTCCAATACTATTCATATTCTCCTATGATTTGGCTAATAGAGTGGAGAGTATACTTATAAAATTTACAGATTTCATTAAGAGGGGTTGCTAGCACTTTGGCAGAGCATCAGAATTTCAAACGACCTTGACAAATTAGAGAATTGTTCTAAATTCAACAAGATGAAATTCAATAAAGAAACGTGTAAAGTATTTCACTTAGAAAAGAAAAAGTCAAATGCAAAACTACAAAATGGGGAACACCTGGACAGTAGTACTGCTGAAAAGGATCTGAGATTATAGTGGTTCACAAACTGAATAGGAATCAGCAAAATGATGCAGCAGCAGAAAAGTCTAATATCATTATGGGGTATATTAATAATAATTGGAGTTGTCCGAGTCAGAACTACAACAATGGCTGCCCATTGCAGGGAGCCATAGCCTGTAATACCTCTAAGGCTGGTATAGGGGGCTCTGTCTGTGAGGTGGAGTGTTTTCCATATAAGGGCATGTAAATTAATAATCTTCCCCTGCTCGCTCCACCCATTGCAGTGAAAGATCAGCCAATGGGCAGACTTGTGCACAGGCCTGCTACTCCACCCACTGCAGCAAAAACCAACCTATGGGGTGATAAGTTCACAGGCAATAAAACAGGCAGGCAGCCCCTCTCTCACGGGGATTTCGCATCGAGTGAACGCCTGGCCTGATCACCCAGACGCCTTGCCCCCCCCGCTCTCGAGTCTTACTGAGCGTAGTCTGAGTCGGTCGACCCGAGTGGAGACAGTTTATGAGCGTGTGACCGGTACTTGTGTTCCTGCTGTCTCCAGAACTGGTATAACACCCCAACTGGTTAACCCCCCCCCCCCCGCCATCATCCCTATCCTAATTGATTTTTTAGTTGTCCTTATTGCTTGTCAAGTGACAGTGGCTAAAAAGTTACTAAGTTAGTTTATAAATAGTTGTGGTTTAGGGTTTTTACTGTTTCCTTGTATAAAGTTGTGTAAATAATCAGCCCTATGGACAATACCAGTGTTAATTCAACTGTTCCTAACCCCTGGGCAGTTATTGGGAATTAATGTGATTTAGAAAAGCCTCAGGGAATTGTTTTGTGTTGTCTGGCAATCTGTTCAATTTTTGTTCTGATGATTGTCTGGCGCCATCAAAATAAAATCAGTTTGTGCTTTTTAAAACCCTCAGTTGTGGTCTCATCCTTTCCGGCATCCCTTCGAACCTCGTGTATTACGGGGACTGACAGGAGTGATGTATGTAAGAGATGGGAGGTATGTGTCCCATTCTTTGGCACTCATCAGGCCCCAACTGGAATAGTGTATCTAATTCTGGGCACCACACTTTAGGAAAGATTTGGGCAAATTGGAGAGAGAGCAACAAAAATGAAACAAGATTTAGAAAACCTGAGCTATGAGGAAAGTTTAAAATATTTTGCATGTTTAGTTAGTGTGGAGGAAAGAAAAGTGAGGGGGAGGGGCTGATAATCGTTTTCACATATATTAAGGGCTATTTTAAACAGGATTGCAAAAGATTGTTCTTCGTATCCACTGAAGGTGGGACAAGAAATAATAATCTGAAGCAGGAGAGGTTTAAAGTCAGGAACAGTGTTCCAAGGGAGGTGGTCGAATTTCCATCACTGGAAGTATTTAAACATAAGCTGGTCAAACACCTCTTAGGGATGCTGTAAATTTACATTGTCCATGGTCTAGCACAGAGGGCTATATTTCCTAACTTTGAGATCCTTCCCACCCCTACATTTCCATGATAAATATCACAAAGCTTCATAACACTCCTGAGATTTTACAGATGGAGAAACTGATAGTTAAAGTAGCTGAAATAAGTTTATCCTCCAACTCTGTAGCAAAGCCAGGAAAGGAAACAAGAAAAAAACACCTGGGGATTAACAGTGGATGAGAAACTGGATATGAGTTAGCAGTGTGTCCTTGCTGCCAAAATGTCTAACAGAATATTGGCCTGCATTAGTAGGAGCATTTCCAGCAGTCAAGGAGAGTGATTATTCCCCTCTATTTGGCACTGATGAGGCCACATAGGGTGCAACTACACAGCACCCTTACCTTGAAATAAGCTATGTAATTTGCACTACACAAATTGCGTAGCTTATTTCGAGGTTATTTTGAAATAAAGTGCTATTTTGACAATTCCCTTAACTCTCATGGAACAATAATGGAATAGCACCCCTGTTATTTCAAAATACATTTCTAAATAATGGGTGAGTTTAAAGATGCGGAATAGCTATTTCGAGGTACTTCCGGTATCCCAAAATAGCTCCACTGTGTAGACGTAGTCATAGGGAACATTACATATAATTTTGGATCCCACACTACAAAAAGGATGTGGGCAAAGTTCAGCAGAGCAATGAAAATAATCAGGAAGTTGGGGCACATGACTTATGAGGAGATGTTGAGGAAATCAGTCTTTGTACTGCAGAAGAGAAGAATAAGGGGAATTTGATTGCAGCCTTCAACTACCTGAAGGGAATTCAAAAGAGGATGGAGAGAGGCTGTTCTCAGTGGTGGAAGATGACAGAAGGTGGAGCAATGGTCTCAAGTTGCAAGGGAAGGGGGGGGGCTCTTCGTTAGATATTAGAAAAAACTGTTGCGCCAGTTCCTCTGAACCAGATCACTCCTGAAAAACATAAGAAGAAACTCCGGAGAGGGGAGGAGGGTGGGTCATGGAGCACCCACGGGGACACACACCTCAAAGAAATGTTGGTACTGTACACAGGATGAGTAACTTCCTCTTCTTCTTTGGTGGTGTCCCTGTGGGTGCTCCACTTGAAGTGAGTACAGAGCAGTAGCCTCATCTGCAGAGGCGGGATTGGAGTTAGGATCTGTCTGCTGTTGACAGCACTGCAGAGGCCAGTGCTGATTCTCTAGCAATCGTGTTGACAGCATAGTGCTTATTAAAAGTAACGTCTGAAGACCATGTCACTGTACAGCGAATGTCTTAGATTGATACTCCTTTGAAGAAGGCTAGAGAATTGGCCATTGCTCTGGTGGAATGAGCCGTAATAGGCATCGGTAAGGACTTATTTTGTGAAGTATAGCAAGTGGTAATATATTTCGTGATTATTTTAGATATTCACTGTGAAGATAAAGACTGGCCCTTGAATCTTCCATCGGAGCACAGGAAAAGCCACTGGGGTCGTCGAAATGGACGAGTCCAATCCAGATAAAAGGCAAGTGCCCTGCGGACGTCTAAGGTATGTAGATGGGCTTCATAGGTCATTGTATGTGGTTTGGAGTAAAAAATAGAGAGTATTATTGGTTCGTTGATGTGGAATTCTAAATTCACTTTTGGCAGAAATTTTTGGTCAGGCCATAGTATCACCCCTTGGTTGGTGAACAGGGTATATGGAGGAGCGGCCGAAAGAGCTGCCAGTTCTCCAACTCATCTGGCCGAGGTTATAGCTAGAGGGAATACCACCTTCATGATGAGAGTCTGAATGTCACATTTGGCTAGCGACTCAAAGGGTGGATATGTAAGAGTGTCCAAAACATATTTAAGACCCCAAAGAATGGGTGGTTTCCTGTGCAGAGGGTGTAGGTTCATGAAACCCTTCAGGAAACATTTAGTCATTGGGTGAGATATGATTGAAAAGCCCTCTATTGATTGTGTGAATGCAAAAATCGCCAAAAGATGGACCTTAATAGATGAAAGGCTCAGTTTAGAGCAGTGTAGATGGAGACCATAGTCCAGAATCGGAGTGGACACTGCATCGAAACTGTTGGTTACACACCAGGAATAGAACCGATGCCATTTAAAAGATAAAAGCGGCGAGGAGTCCTGTGGCACCTTATAGACTAACCGAAGTGTGGAGCATAAGCTTTCGTGGGCAAAGACCCACTTCATCAGATGCATGTAGTGGAAATTTCCAGAGGCAGGTATAAATATGCAGGCCAGAATCAGGCTGGAAATGACGAGGTGGATCCAATCAGGGAGGGTGAGGCCCCCTTCTAGTAGCTGATCTGGAGATGTGAATTACAAGATTAGAGAAGCTGCTTTTGTAGTTAGCTAGCCATTCACAGTCTTTGTTTAATCCCGAGTTGATTGTGTCAATCTTGAATATGAACTGCATCATCCGGAACACTGCATCATCCGGAGAGGACGAAGCAACAGGGAGGTCCAGTGGGGATTCTTCCTTCATTTGTGGCTGTTGTGGAGTCAGTACCTGCACTGGTTGTGATTGTGTCTGATGGAGAGGCATATTAGCAGATGGTGAAGAGGGTCGAGAAGAAATGGCCGGTGGTGTGTGAACGTAGCAGCTGCCATGAGAGCGATGTTGCTACCATTGTGGGGACGGGGACGAAAAGCGTCCATAAGCATATCGTCTCTCATCACGGTAGTCCTTATAGTGACGATGATTATCACGATCATAACGAGAAGATGAATATGAAGATGAGTACCGTCATCTGTAGTTGTGATGATAACGAGATGAAGACAAACGTGTAGGCGATCTAGGTAAGCGAGACCTGCGTCTGGTGTATGAAGGTGATCAAGAATGTCTGCGATAATGACGAGGTGATGGTGAGTATCGTAGAGTGTGTCTGCTGGAGCCAGTGGTAATATAAGCTTGACGTCCACATGGCTCAGAGAAGAGCGAGGAAAGTGACCTAAGCTGTGAGTTGGTAGCCACTTGATCAGGACTTGGTAAAGAATGAAACCTTAAGCTCTGTGAATGGTCGGATCTTCCATGCAGCATTGATTGTAACCTTGAGGGGGAGCTCTGATACTGCAGTGCAGGTGCATGGAGCAGCTCTGGAGGCTGACACAGCAGTGCTTCGGCACTTGTCAATTTCAGCTGGTGCAGCCGGCACTGACAAAGAGCCTGTTGATAGAAATCTCGGTGCTGGTGATAGTGTCAGGGAGAAGCTGTATTGAGCCAGCACCAAGACAGCTGGTGCTGCGCTCGGTGCCGCAGTAGCTGGTGCTGAGAAGGACAGTGCCGTAATAGCCAGCACCAAGGCGGTTGGTGTGGCCGGTGCCGCTGTTGCCAGCGCAGAGACAGCTGGAGTCGGCACGGTCAGGATCAGTGCCGTAGGAATCAGCGTGGCCAGTGGCAGCATAGTCAGTGCCGCCAACGCCGGGGTCAATGATAGCGCTGGTAGGGCAGGGGCACCCACAGTCGCAGGTGAGTGAGAGTGCCTGTGAGCCAGAACCGGTGCAGATTCCAGTCTTGGAGGCACAGCCATCGCCCGATCTGCCCCCCTGTTAGAGGTGGGGCTGGGCTCCGAAATACTGTGGCTCTTCCCCTGTCGTTCGCCTTGCTGCTGGAGTCTGGCTGATTTTTGACTCCTGCTTTTTGCGGAGGCAGTCAGAATTTTTGCTGCCAACGAAGGTTTTTGCGCTGACTGTCCCTGCACCAGAGGCTTTTTACGGCTGAAGTGCTTTGCTATATAAGAGCAGCTTCAGGCACATCTCGCAGTCCTATCTTGCCTGGCCGATTAATTTCAGGCAATGTGGGTATTTGTGAGGTACATGCCCCTCGCCCAAACATTTTACACATAGCGAGTGTCCATCAGATGCTGGCAAGGCGTCCTGACACTGGGAGCACTTCTTAAAGCCGGAGGAAGCCGGCATTATGAAACTGATGAGAATTTTTTTGTTCTTTTTAAGTACTATGGAACAAACACTAACTAACTAACTCAATAACTATTAACTATTGCTGACTAATTAACTCATTATTTACACAATCTACCTTAACAGACAGAGAGAGGAAGTGGCTCCGCCTGCGACCATTGAATGGTAAGGAGGAACTGGCAGGAAGCTGGACTCAGTGCAGGCTGTCATGCAGCGCGAGCAGCACGCGCCCACACATGCACGGTCTGGCTGGACCACAGCTGATGATTCTCTGACCTGCAGCGCCGGGACGAGCCCGATACCTCAAGTGGAGCACCCACGGGAACACCACCGAAGAAGAAATATGACATAAGTGGGCACTTAGGTAACAGTGATTATAGCGGTTTGGGAATAGTTCAACAAAACTTATCAAAAAAGCTGATTCATGAAAACCAAAGAGTTTATGAGTAAGCATTGGCTTTGACAAATTCCCTATTTTGAGAAAAACTGGGAAAAAAAAGTTTTTAAATTGTCAAAATGTCCAGTTTACACATTTTCTAAACACAAGCATTCAGTTTTTAAAGTCAAAATAACTGTTTACAATTTTAATTAATTAACAAAACATTTCAACTCACCTCATTTGAATCACACACACACACACACACACACACACAAACACACACACACACACACTTTCACTTCACAAAAATTTGAGATTAACTTTTAGTCCCAACTAACGATAGCACCATTTTTAGATATCTCAAAAATTCTCACTGGATGGGAAAACTATTTCATACCCAGGTCAACTTCTAATAGGCCCTTAGAAACTCCTGAAATATACAGTCATGAATACCAGTACAAAATGATATGAGACACCCTCAATGGGTTCTATTCATTTCCAAGTTGTCAGATGCCACTCTGATGGGCCCCTTTTGTTTTAAGATAGAATCATAGAATACTAGGACTGGAAGGGACTTTGAGAGGTCATCGAGTCCAGTCCCCTGCCCTCATGGCAGGACCCAGTGCTGTCTAGACCATCCCTGATAGACATTTATCTAATCTATTCTTCAATATCTCCACAGATGGAGATTCCACAACCTCCTTAACAATTTATTCCAGTGTTTAACCACCCTAACAGGAAGTTTTTCCTAATGTCCAACCTAAACCTCCCTTGCTGCAGTTTAAGCCCATTGCTTCCTGTTCTATCCTCAGAAGCCAGGATGAACAAGTTTTCTCCTTCCTCCTTGTGAAACCATTTTAGATGCCTGAAAACCTCTATCATGTCCCCTCTCAGTCTTCTCTTTTCCAAACTAAACAAGCCCAATTCTTTCAGTCTTCCCTCAAAATTCATGTTTTCTAGACCTTTAATCATTCTTCTTGTTCTTCTCTGGACCTTCTCCAATTTCTCCACATTTTTCTTGAAATGTTGTGCCCAGAACTGGACACAATACTCCAATTGAGGCCTAACCAACGCAAAGTAGAGCGGAAGAATTACTTCTCGTGTCTTGCTCACAACACTCCTGTTAATGCATCCTAGAATCATGTTTGCTTTTTTTGCAACAGCGTCACACTGTTGACTCATATTTATCTTGTGGTCCACTATAACCCCTAGATCCCTTTCTGCCATACTCCTTCCTAGACAGTCGCTTCCTAGTCTGTATGTATGAAACTGATTGTTCCTTTCTAAGTGGAGCACTTTGCATTTGTCTTTATTAAACTTCATCATATTTACCTCAGACCATTTCTCCAATTTGTCCAGGTCATTTTTAATTATGACCCTATCCTCCAAAGCAGTTGCAACCCCTCCCAGCTTGGTATCATCTGCAAACTTAATAAGCATACTCTCTATGCCAATATTGAAATTGTTGATGAAGATACTGAACAGAACCGGTCCCAGAACAGACCCTTGCAGAACCCCACTTGTTATACCGTTCCAACAGGATTGTGAACCATTAATAACTACTCTCTGAAAACGGTTATCCAGCCAGTTATGCACTCACCTTATAGTAGCCCCATCTAAGTTGTATTTACCTAGTTTATTGATAAGAATATCATGCAAGACCTTATCAAATGTCTTGCTAAAGTCTAGGTATACCACGTCCACCACTTCTCCCTTATCTACAAGACTCATTGTCCTATCAAAGAAAGCTATCAGATTGGTCTGACCTGATTTGTTCTTTGCAAATCCATGATGGCTGTTCCCTATCACTTTATTATGATTTCCTTAATTACTTGCTCCATTATCTTTCCTGGCACAGAAGTTAAACTGACTGGTCTATAGTTTCCTGGGTTGTTCTTATTTCCCTTTTTATAGATGAGCACTATAATTGCCCTTTTCCCGTCTTCTGGAATATCTCGCGTCTTCCATGATTTTCCAAAGATGATAGCTAAAGGTTCATCTACCTCCTCTATCAGCTCCCTGAGTATTCTAGGATACATCAGGCCCTGGTGACTTGTAGATATCTAACATTTCTAAGTGATTTTTAACTTTTTCATTTTTATTTTATCTTCTAAACCTACCCCTTTCCAATTAGCATTCACTATGTTAGGCATTACTTCATCAGACTTCTCGGTGAAGACCGAAACAAAGAAGTCATTAAGCATCTCTGCCATTTCCAGGTTTCCTGTCACTGTTCTCCCGCCTCACTGAGCAATGGGCCTACCCTGTCCTTGGTCTTCCTCTTGCTTCTAATATATTTATAGAATGTCTTCTTGTTTCCCTTTATGCCTGTGTCTAGTCACATATTTTCTATCTTTCCTATGCAGTGGAATAGCTTGCTTTTGGGGCCTTAATAATGTCCCTTTGAAAAACTGCCAACTCTCTTCAGTTTCCCCTCAATCTTGCCTCCCATGGGACCTTACCCACCAGCTCTCTGAGCTTACCAAAATCTGCCTTCCTGAAATCCATTGGTTAGTTTCCCAACATATATCTGGATAGTTGAAGTCCCCCATCACCACCAAATCCTATGCTTTGGATGATTTTATTAGTTGTTTAAAAAAAGCCTCATCTACCTCTTCCACCTGGGTAGGTGGCCTATAGTAGACCCCTAGCATGACATCACCCTTGTTTTTTTACCCCTTTTAGCCTAACCCACAGACTCTGCACACGTTCATCTTCTACGTCCATCTCCACCTCTGTCCAAGTGTGTACATTTTTTAAATATAAGGCAATACTTCCTCTCTTTTTTCCTTGCCTGTCCTTCCTTCCTAAGCTGTACCCTTCCATACCAATATTCCAATCATGTGTATTATCCCACCAACTCTCTGTGATGCCAACGATGTCATAGTTGTATTTATTTATTAGCACTTTCTGTTCTTCCTGCTTATTACCCATACTTCTTGCATTTGTATGTAGGCATCTAAAATACTGATTTGATCTTGCCTCCCAGTTCTGCCTTGTCCCTCCTTTCTCTTTGCTATTATAGCTCACACTCCCTCCCATTTCCAACCCATCTCCCAAATCTCCATGTTCACTTAATTGCATCTTATCTTTCTTTCTTTTTACTGCATACACTTTGTTTTATGTCCCATCTACCACAAGAGCTTGGCACCTTCTTTCTGTAATCAATCAGGTCATACTCACCCAGGGTATAAGTTTCTCCTGGTTCTAGGCACAGTACTATTCAAGTTTCTAAATATCTTTGCTTCAACTATCAGCAAGGATATATGGCAGCCATTTCAAGAGCTATTCTGTTAGAAATTACACATTCAGAAATAGCAGTGCCCCCTTGTCTCCGGTTTTCTTGTCAAGTCATAATTATTATGATAATCACCATGTATGTAACATTGCATTCACTTTTTTGTTTATTTCCCAAAACTTTCATATAAGCATAGTTCCCATTTTTTTATATTTAAAAACTTCAGCATGGTAAAATAAACTGATTAAGAAAATGAATCAAAGCTCTCTCTTTCATGGATAGACACATAATCCTAAAAAATTGCAAGAGATATTAAATCTCTGAAATGTGAACATATGTACACAGATGATATATATTAAAGGTGGCACACAAGCAGACTAAACTGAAATCATAAGTCATCAAAACAAGCTTACTACCATTCTGAATTTGTTAATGTTGACAGGAGATTTTTGTCTTGGCTGGTTAAAAAATGAGATGGTTTCAAATATTCACCAAGGAGAAATGCTAAAAATCACTCCCTTTTTAATATATCATTTTAATCTTTTTAAAAATGTTTTCTGCATACCTTGCAAACATGTTCAGGACAGCAGTTCAGGGAAAAAAGGGCTTAAGCCCTTTAGCGCTGTACTGAATGCTAATGCATTTGTATATGATAGATTTAATATAGAACTGAGAATAAATGACTTTCAGCAGCTGCACTATGGGCCTATAAATTGCTCTGAGTACTACAAAATCCATACAGGGGAAGAACAGCTGTATAATTTACAGCATTAGTACTTGTCAAGAGAAACTGCAAATAAAGAATTTGATTTCTTGGTTTCCAGACTACACATTCTACAAAAATTAGAAATTATCCTTGCAAAGAACCTATTAGATAAGCACATTTATTCATCTTGCAGATAGCTACTTAAAATGCATCAGCCTCTTTAATTTTTATCATGTTAAGTGGAATTCAAAAAGCAGAAATAGCAACATTGTACAAACAAATGAATAAA